AGTTTTTTGAATTTTTCTGCCGTTTTCTGTATTCTTTGAGTTATAACTTAGCATTAGCTTTGGTAAAGCAAAGACCAGAACATAACTTAGAAAGTGCATTTGCAGCCTAGGAATTTCTTCGGTAGACTTTAGGCAATTTACCTCAGATTCTAATCAGTTCAAGTAATTAGAAACTAGAAAAAGATGAACATTTGTTAAGAGGAGCAATGAGATCGACTCTTTCGAAGATTGATTTAAAGCTCGTTGAAGCTAACAATTTGATATTTTTAAGTTGAGATTATATTCAATAGAAATAACGATTGACAATAAAAGTCTGTGATTCGGATTTCAACATAAAACGACAGAAGCCATCATTAATGATTTATGTTAATTATGTTTATTACTATTTGCAGAAACTGGATTCAAGGTTTGCTTATTCCGGGCAAATTTACTAAGATTTCATTTTGTACGTTCGATGAATATCGATGAGTTAAAACAAAGAAATAAAAAAGGTCCTAAAATGGGTCAAACAAATGACAAAAGATCTTAATTCTTGACTAATACTTCAAATGAAAGCAAGAAATGAGTTATGTTTCACTGTTATGTTGAAAACTGGAGCAAACCCATTACAATGGCAGTTCATTTGGGACAGATTAAACAAGCAAAATTAAACGTCAAATATAAATGTTTCTCTGATTTGGAATTGAAAAGCAGATCTTTTCCTTTGCAGAAACACTTTTATCAAATGCTATTAAACTGTATAATTTACATTGTAATTTTAGGTGCTTTTAGGTTCTGTATGTGCTTGGAATTGACTGTTTCTCTCTGTTGCCAAATTAATTCATCATGAAAGCCAAGTGAATAACAATCGGTTGTGGCAACTTAGTGATCAAAAAAGATGATAATGATAGTTTTATAATGATAATGACTTTTATGATAAAATAGTAAAAGATGTAAACTGTTTAGAATTCTTTGTATAAGAAGAAGCTTTTTACTCTTTAATCAAAATATTGTTTCCATTATCGCTAGAAAATATGATTACTCTGAAGCAATATTTTTACCTCCTAAGCCATTACTGTCTTCACATGATGATCACTTTAATGGTCATGAAAGAGTCACAAATTATTTATCAACAAAATTTGCACAAGAACGCAAAACAAAATAATTATTAAATTGAATAAAAGTTCACTTTGAAATGACGCTCAGTTCAATAATGAATACTTTAAAGGTAAAAGGTTCTAAAAGGTTTTCGAAAAGTTTATCATTCCAACCGATTTTGACAAACGATTGTTTTTTATTGAATAATTGACTCGTTACTTAAAAAGTTAAAAGCTTTTAACTTGTTTCTTAATAAAGAAAAATTATTTTTCCATCATTTATCATAATAAAGAATATTTCGTTGGATTTCGCTGCTAAGCTCAGAACTGATCGATGAAATTGGTGGCTAATCATTTTAAAAATCTCGATAGATTCATTCCAATGCGGCGGAAAAGACTCGAATTCGAGAGAATTCAATTTTCTGATCATTCTTTTATTTTTTAAAGTCCTTTGTTTGGCTTTTCGATTGGAATCATTTACGAAAATGTTGATTTCGTTTCACGAATAAAACTTTAAACTTTACTTAATTTGTTTTTTCATCGCTTTTCGATCTGAACTTGTAGCTTGTGCATGACTATCGGTCGTTTACAGCTTTAAATATTGTAATAAATTCGTAACAAATGGAAGATTCATCTCGATCCTGAGTTTTTGAAACCAGAAAATGGAAGGAATTTTTTTAATTCAATTTGTTTTTATCGTTTGCTTGGATTTATTCAACTGGAATTCATTTGGTCATGATTGTAAGGATAATCTCTATCTGCTTCGATTGATCATCAAACCTTGAATGTGAAAATAAATTTGTCTTTATCTTGAAATGGCAAATGCATGTTCAATATGTACTGTTATGGAATGGAAGATGGAATTGAAATGAAAATCAAAATGAACAATATCATTAATTCAATTGATCGTAAAGTAAAATTGAAAGCAATAAAATCGAAAACTTATTTAACTTGAAATCACAAAATACAAATTATATTCTGAACCATTTAATATCAAAGATAATATTTATTTCAACAAGAAGAGATATAAAAAAATCTAAATAATTGATAACTTCTCATTTCCATAATAATATAGATTTGCACTTGTGATGCACTTTTCTTGCTTTAAATAGACTCTAAATATACATTTGGATACTTTCAAGTTTTTCAGCTTTTGATGAAATAAATTGAGAAAAGTATTAAAAAAGGAAAATCAAATTTTTTCTGTTCTGTTGATAATTTAAAGAAATAACGATTATGAAGGGAAAAAATGAGGTTAATAAGTCAAGATAGAAAGTGTATCATCAAGACTCGAGGCTGTTTGATGAAATCACAGGTTAGCTGACTGAAGCAGCATGAAATAATAATGATAATAAAGGGTGAACCAAAAGTAGGGACAAATGCATAGAGCTTTAACCAAGTTTTTCTGATTGTCGATTGATTCAATTTCTTTGCAAACTTTATTCTTCTATTTTTTCAAGATTGCCACAGTTCGAAAAGCACTGAATAACTAATCAAGCCTGGGATGCCAAATATATGAGCTACAAGCTTATAATTTTAGTACAACTACAGAGGAAAATGTGCGGCTATGAGCATTTGGATGAAGAAATGGAGAATTCGAGGAAAAGTTATTTGTAAATCTTGTAGCAATCATATTTGTTTGTAAAATACACAAGTTCTGTACTAAAGCTATAATATTTCTCAATCCGTTTCTGCTTTTTTCATTTGATAATAGTTTTCAATTAATCGGCTTAAAAATTCTGTGTTCCTACTTTTGGGTCACCCTTAAATAGCAATGATGCCAGAAATAATAATGCTTTGGTTAAATTGGAAAGAAGACATGGAATGGTAGAAGAAACTGTTAGCAAAAGCTTCCTAATGGATGAGGTGAACACAGGGATTGAAAAAGATATTGAAAAAGGCTTGAATTTTCAATCAGAATTGCTATTTGAAAAGTTATTCGGAATTGAATTCGAAAAGAAAAACGGCATAACAATGCGCAAAATTAAAGTTTTCGAGTGATCTTTTTTAACGAAGAATGTACTTGAAAACTTGATGAAATAAAATCCCAGTGCTGGGAGTGAGACTTATCTTAACTCCCAAAACATTCAGTTTTTCTTCAAACATACTTTCTTTCCGGGTCCGATTTTTTATTACCTTTTATGCAAATTCTCGTAAGAAGCAAAAGCACACAAATAATCAACAGTAAGGGCACAAACATACAAAATGCAGTTTCGTGTAAGTTACGAACGAAAAACAACTAGAAAACGTTGCAATGCTGGGAGTGATGATTATTTCACTCCCATTGCATTGAGTTTTCTCATTGTGCAATGTACTTCAACTTTATCAGTGTTAAGACTAGAGTTTCTGAGCCATAGCATTGAGACGTTACCTTTTTTAGGTTAACCTTTCACGAAATTCTCGTAAAAAGCGAATGATGAAATTTTCTTTTATTGAAATCCAATGGTCGTTTCTTCATCCATCAAGTTATTTGTGGGATTCACATCCAACAACTTGATAAACCTTTATACATTAATTATTAAATATTGAGTGGAAAGAAAACTGAAAATTAACTTTTAATGATTGCGATGAGTTCAGTTTATATCCAGCATTTTGTAAAAAATGATGTTAAACTTTTCTTTTTTGTTCATTTCATTCTGACATGACATTAACAATGATGAAACTGTTAAGACCAAGTTATCATCATCTTAACAATTTAATCCATTAACATAGTTGAAAGATAATGATGATCCAGAATCAATCAGCTAAGAGGCAAGTAACACCTAAAATTGGCAATAATTCAAGAGCATCAATTATAAAAAACCATGAAAAGAGAAAAGGGATGAAATAGAGAAAAGAAGTTTGGGTGAAAACAATTGTGGTGATAAGTTGATGAACATTACAATTGATGAGAGAAAATTGATTAACAGAAAAAGAAAAATGTTTCCCTTGTAATCTTCTGATGAGCTAACATGATAAATTATCAGATAATTGAACTTATTGTAATTTGTGAAAGTATTAGTTGAACAAGTGAACTCGAAGGGAGAAAAAAAGTCAACCGTTTATCGAGAAAAGAATCCATCATTTCAATGAGCGACAATTCAATTCCATTAATCAATGTTTATCAACATTGTTAATCACTTTCAGATGATAGTCGACACGAAATGCTCCATTCAAACCACAAGTTCATTACAAGTTACAAGAATTTAGTTTTTTCCAGAATTCGTTGAATGTCAATTTTGAAATTTTGACCTTTTCTTTCTTTTCATTCTTACTTTATTAATTAGTCTGAGCGAAGCAAAGACTTATAATTTCCCTCCCTATACTACCAAAATTTCACCTTTTTTAAACATTATCACAGCAACCATTCAACTCACTACATTCAAACTTACGATATCTCATCACACAAATCTGAAGAATTTCTGGCAGGATTTTTTTCGTGAAAAAAAATGCCCAGCAGGTTTTATAGGCTAAAAAGCGTTTTTTACGAAAATCATCAAGGAGTGCGTAGATTCGCGTTGACGACTTGCGTACTTCCACTGTGTGAACAACACATGGTCTTCTTCACCATCGATACTAAATTTCCGGTTTTGAAACATCCGTTTCCGAAAAAACTGCATAAAAGTCGTTTTTTCTGGAAGTCTGTAACACTTCATTCTACATTTTTGTTCAAGTCTTTTTCTTATAAAGCTCTTAATTTTACTATGAAAACTTGAAATAAAAATCGGTTTAGCTGATCAAGTTTATGGTAGAACAAGTAAAACCTATTTTTTCGGAAATTTTCAAAACTTTTTTGTTACAACTTTAAACCATTTGCTTACATTAAAAACAGTGATAATAAGTGATAATAAAGGTACAGTCACCATTGAGAAACTGCACCTCTTTAGAAATAGCTTATTTACACTATTCGTCGGGCAGCGTAATTCATGATTTTCAATCTTCCTTAATAGATCAAATTTAACCTTAAATTTTGTTTTAATCTGATTTTAGAGTTTTTGGATTAAAATTTCACGAAAGAAAATTGAATTAAGTCAATTGATAATTAGAGAAATCGAATCAAAAATCGACGAAATGCAAAACGAGATCAAACTCCTCCTTGATAGGGACCATTGAAAAAATTAAGTGCAGTTTCACAATGGTGCAGTTTCTCAATGGTGACTGTATTCCATCAATCGGAATTTTCTATGTTATATTGCCATTTAGCATGCGGACTAATCAAATTTTCAAACCCTCAGAATTCAGTCTCCTTATTCCTCTGCACGCTCGCTCAGACTACGCCGCTTCACGGCTGACCTAGTATGAACATTGTAACAACTTAATCATAACGAATTTCAAAGTTGATTTCGCTTAATCAGATTAAATGTGACTTTAAACTTGTTAACTAAATAACAAATAAACTCGAAACAATATTAATACACCGTGTCCCAAAAGTCGTTTAACTTTTGAATTTGCTATTGTGGCGCCATCTGTTGTTTTTTTGCAACCAAATTTTTTTAACTTCCTTTTCCGGTCGGGGGATTCATAAAAAACGCATTTTCAGACCTTCAAAAAATTATTGGCAAAAATGTCTTGGACACCGGAGGAACGTTTTTTCATGGTAAAATTTTATTTTTTATGTGGTGAAAGTGCTTCTGCAGCGCAGAAAAGGTTCGGCACGCACTTTAAAATCAAAAAAAAGGAAAATTTACCAACTATTCAAACGATCTCAAGGTAAGTGCGAAAAATGTGGTTTTTTCAAGTTTTTTTATCTTTTTGTTCTCTTTTATTCTTTCAGCTGGGTAAATGCGTTGGAAACAAAGTTTTCTTTACTTGATGCTAACGAAGATCGAACCGGGAGACCAAAAACAGCAAGGTCTTCAGAAAACATCAATGTTGTTGAAGACATGGTGACAGATGATCCAAACATTTCGATGAGAGAGCTTGCCGCCAGCACCAGTATGTCGAAATCTACTGTGCATAGGATAGTACGATTGGATCTGGGTCTGTTCCCATACAAAATTCAGGTGCATCAACCATTAACAGACAGTTCAATAGTGAGACGGTTCAATTTTGCAAACGAGATGCTGACCATGATTGAGGATGGAACAATTGATATCAACAAGATAATTTTCACTGATGAGTGTCATTTTCATTTGCAAGGATACGTCAATAAGCAGAATTGGCGCCACTGGGGCTCAGAAAAGCCAGATTTTTCAAGAATTAAGCCCCTTCACCCACAACGTGTGACAGTTTTTGCTGGAATTCATGCAGGTGGAATCATAGGACCCTACTGCTTTCCAGAGAGTGTAACTGGAGAAAAATATCATTCTTTATTGGTAAACAAGGTGTTACCGGCTATGTATGACAAAGAAATCGTCTCCGGGTACTGGTGGATGCAGGATGGAGCTCCCCCACATCGAGTTCAATCAGTAATAGACCTTCTAGACCAGAATTTTTACGGCAGAGTAATCGCTCTCGGGTATCCAGAAAGGTATGGAAGAGGTATGGCATGGCCGCCGTACTCCCCAGACCTCAATCCTATGGATTTCTTCGCTTGGGGCTATACCAAGGATAAAGTCTATAGGAGTGAAAAACACTCACTCGATAGCCTTCATACTGCGATAAAAAATGTTTTCTCACAGATCTCAACCGAAACGTGCGCCAAAGTAATCGAAAATTTTGAAAAACGACTAAGACATGTTGTCGCATCTGAAGGGAAAAATTTCGAAAATTTGATTCATTAAATAAGAAACGATTGCGTTTCATTTTCTTAAATCCCCTCTTTAAACATTCATTTTTATGTATGAACGGTCCCTGTATCTGCAGTGGTTCAAAAGTTATAGCAAATTCAAATGTTAAGTGACTTTTGGGACACCCAGTATTTTCATCTCATCTGTTACAATTGATTAGTTAATGATAATCAAATAAAATTTCTTCAAGTACTTCAACAAATTCGCCCTGAAGTTAGAAATTGAATAAAAAATGAAAAGAACAGTAACTAATGAGAGGCAAAGAGTTCAGGGTTAAAGATTGTACATTCAATTCTTTACAAGACTCATGTTAGATGGAACGAAGCATCGATGCAAAATCTTAATTGCAACAAACAAAGTCGCTCTTATGAACCGTTCTGTCGATGTTTAGCAACTTCATTCGAAATAAATTGCAGGCAGAAAATCATTTAATCGCATCTTTAATTTCCATAAGTTTCTTTGCTTCGAATTCGAATTATTCTTGCAAATTACATCTTCGTAAGTTCTTTATCTGAATGACTTTCGAGGCAAGTTCACAGCTAAAGTTAAATAAACTTATTACTTCTATGCTGAAAAACTCCAAGAATAACAACTCTAATAAAGATCACGATCAAGATTCTTCTCTCTTCTGATGAACGAAAAGCCAAACTTAAGTGTCAATTTTATATTGATTTCTGTTCGCAGAAACGTTTACAGATTCTCGAAGTTCTAATAGAATTGATATATCAAAGATAGATGTTCGATGAGAAACTTCTCGATTAGTTTTTGCGTTCATCAATTCTCAACTATTTTAGGTTCGTGTTCACTCCATCGAGATATCGATCAAATTTTATAAACTCAGTGATGCATAAATTGGGTGATTGATTGAATGGAAATTTGATTTCTCTCAATTAGAACTCTTTGCTGAATCATCTTTCACTTTCGAGTTTATCTTTATTGACAAAAAACTGTAAAAGTATTCTTCTTTCGATCTATCAATTGCATTTCTGTTGTAATATAATATTGATAAAAACTTAACAGGTTAACAGCGTTTATCCACCTCAGATTCTTCCTTTTCAAGTCAAATTCTTGCGTTCAATCATGCATATAATTTTGGTTCAAGTAGGATGAAACATTACCACAGCTTTTTATGCACAAAATCAAATTTGTTTTCACCTTTTACCATGAAAATTGAGATGAGAAAATTGTTTTCCTTCTTTCTTCTTGCCAACATCTTTGATACTTTGACTGTTACTAGATACTTAAACCTCCTTCAACCTTCTCACCTCTTTCAAACTTCATCATTATCTACTCAGAATCTGTTCCCTTTCCTTTCATGTTATCCAATTCAAGATGACCGTTAAAAGAGATAACCTTATTTAGCTGGAATCCATGAAAGTTTCACTTATGAAGATACTTCTCGCTTACATTCCTCTTCCCATGTTTCTCAAATAGAAACTTAAACATCTCTTTTCATCACATTATCGTTGCTTTATATCATTCATTTATCCACTTCTTTTCATCATCTAACACTTTTTATTGTCCGAATATAAGTTTATAAATATGTTATGAGCACATTTCGATATCCATGAAGACAAATTGATGGACTATTGAAATCAATTCTTTGGTTAACCAAGACTAAACTTCGAATGTATCCAAACTCCGGTTTGAAGTGAATTGAATAAATATTGAAATAAACTTATGAACTTTCAAACTTCCGTTTCATTGTAGTAAGCAAGTTGCCAAATGTCATAACCTGAATACGAATTTCATAGGTAGTAGAACTTAGAGTTGAGCTGAAAAGCTTTTGAATTCGATGATACTCTCGCTTTGCAGAGTTTTGGTAACAAATCAAATCAAGGAAACAACTTGCTATGAGAGAAAATCAAGTCACTAATGATAGTTAAGCTGAAGAAATAGTGAATTGTTCTGAGTTCGTTGAAATAATGTGACAGAATGCTAATGTTATGGTAAGATTGAGTTGTAAAGCATTATTAGTTACAGAAGTTTTGCAATTGCAGTTCAATTTCTGGGTTTCATTGCAAATTTGTGAGTTTCAATAGTTTCTAACTTGTTCAGCTTTCTTATTCAGCTTGAATGAAATCTCTGCATTTTTTCGGAATGTTATTCAAGTAAATTAAGCTTTGATTGCATTATGTTTTTGCGCAATTATATTATTAAGCAAACAGTAGCGTAGGTTATTAGTTTAATGAACAAAAGGTGAAGGGAAGACGAGCGAGGAACGAAAAATGCAGACAAAAAGAGAGTTCTCAAGAGTCTTTGTAATAATGATCTTGTAATGACCAAGTTAATATGAGAATGGTTGAGGTGAAGGAAAAGATGAAAGCAAAAAGTGTGGATAAATTTCATGAGTAGCCTACAAAAGGCCCTGATACTAGGGAAAAAGAAGAAGATGAGTTTTGAGAATAGCCAAGGAATGAGATAAAAAAGGTGAAAATAAGAATCTTGTCAAAGAGAAAGACTCGAAAAATGGATTCTTCGTCATTAGTCCATCACCAGAAAGATTATGTATTAATGAATGAAACAACAAAATGTCATTCCTTGTCATGGACTTTTGATGGGCATCATTTCTTATATTTTACCTGAAGAATCATTTTAATCGTTAACGAGAATGAAATTGAAAACAAATGCCGAATCGACTGATATGCATGAATTGCAATGTCGATATAAGAAAGGAAACGAAACTTTCAGTGCAACTTTCATTACAATCTTAGAATCGAAAGTCGTCTTTAATATTAAAGTTTTCCGCAAAAGAAACAAAAACTTTTCTAACAACTTTATGTCGGAAGCAAAAGATGATTGATGTTTTAATTTAAATTTAACAAAACTGCTTCACAATAGTATTGATGATTTCCTATTCTCATCACCAGAATCGTCCCTCATGAAGGCTTCGATATTTTGATTATTGTTCCAACAGACAAAACATCAATCATCTCAACGTAATTCATTTTTACTTTGACTTTCCCATTAAATTTAAAGCATCTCTTTGCACGAACAAGCAACAAGTCTATTCGAGTTTGGTTCATTGCGAATGCAACAAATTTCATCACTTGCAAAAGATGATCAGACAATGATGAATAGACAGAGAACACGCTTTATTGAAACTAATGTTGAATCTTTCCATTCGTTCTTCCACCCCTTTCTTAAATTTCTTTGCCAACGATCGCTAAACTCTTCAGATTGAAAACATAGAAACAGAACTCAAGATTGCAGTTTCAGTTTTGTCTAACAAGTTACAGAAGTTTCAAGCTATAAGTTAAGTTGAATGCATTCTGCACTTCAACTTAAGTTGAAATTGAATGGATATCAATTAAATGTGCAAGCAAATGAAGTTGGCAAGGAATGACTTTTTTCATGGAATAATTGTTATAATATTATGCCAATCATCAATCATTTTTGTTCACATTAGATAATAGGTGAAGGTAAACAATGAGCTGTTGAAAGCAACTGAGCAGGTAGTCAACAGGTTACCGGTGAAGAGCATCGAGTGAACAATTGCAATGAAAGTGAATAACAATGTTTTTGCGTGAAGAAGAAAGACTTTCTTCCATGAAAAGTGTTTCGGAATTAATAAGGTTAATTGTAGTTTCTCATTGGTTTGTCTTTCCATTGGAATAATAGTTTCAGCAACGTTTTCCTGCTGTTTATGCATTCTCTAGAAAGATCAAGAATAAAGCATTTTTCATGATAAAAAAAGAAGCTATAATAAGGTTTCAATCGTGATATTGGAATAAGTAAAAAGGTCATCGGTCAAACAATTGAATTGATTAAAGGGAAACAAGGGAAAAATGGGAAAACGCGAAGAAAAAGTTTTCTTGGTTTATAATCTGATCCAACAAGTAACCATTAACCAAGATAAATCATCTAATTAGACGTGAATCTCAATGGATTTCATGATGAATGTAACTTGAAACGAGAATTTGGATAATAAAATTAAGCTCTCATGTAAGAACTACCATGTTCCATGAGATGGAAAAGAGAAACTTAAAAACAATTCAATGATTAATGAACATGAAACCAAAAAATGAAACAAATATTTTCGAATCATTTAAAGCAAAGAAAGATTTTTCAAAATTCCAATCCAATTTGAATTGTTTCTAAATCAAAACGATTTATCGTTTGAAACCACATAAAATGTTCTTCTTTATTGGAACACAAAATTTTTACATTCTTACATCAGAACTTAGCTTGATGCACATAACCATTGAAGAGCTTTTGAATCGTTCGAGTTTCTAGTTTCTCATCAAAACGCACAGAATTTGATAAATAACAATTTCTAACATAAACAACTTTCTTGGATTGAGTTAAAATTTATGCGAATTCAATGGATAATGTTTTGGAATACAAGAATAATGCATAATTTGAACATGATTTGATTATGATCGTATGAAAAGGTTTTGAGCACATCTCATGATTTCTGTTGGAGTTGGATCTGAATCTAGATTATCTTTATAACCATTCTTCTTGGACTTCAATTAAAGCCTTGGATAACAATATACAGTTGAATATGTGGCTATTGAATCTGAATTATTTACTTTATTATATCTTTTTATGGTTCAATTGAGCATTTGGCTTTTCTAATTTTTCTCGTGGGATTCCAGTTTAGGTCAAACATTCGAGGATAAACAGCACGTACATTCAAGTTTGCTCAATAAGGAAGTTGATCTTTATACTAGAACATAAAATTGAACATTTATTCCATCATGGACTTTAACTGGAATGCTTTTTGCCGAGAAAAGCAAATGGGTGAGAAAAGTGTGTTAACGAGATTGATTTCAACAATAGTGGATGAAAAATTAATTCAGATGATCGTGATTATACAGATGTGAATATACTGACGTGATGAAAATGCAGTTCAAGTTGATCTCATTTGGTTTGCACATAACTTTCCTCTTTACTCAATCAACATATGCAACTTTTGATGAAGTAAAGCGTAAAAGCGTTTGAATCATTTTTCATTCAATTCTGTTGATTGGGTACTTTAATAAGCAGTTAAAGAGAGAACAGGGAAATTCTGGTTCATTTAGATGCGAAACAATTTCAAGGTTTGATGTGACCATTAACTTTGGCCATAATACAAGATGATAAAAGATTGGCTCAATAATGGTTCTAGAAGGTTTCTTAAGAGAGTTTGTTGAAAAAATGAATCTTTAACATGATATTTTTCGCTATTAAAAAATGGCAATAAAAAGATTGTTAAACAGCTCATTAAAGTTTCGAGTTAACAGAATTGGAACATTTTCAAAGGGAAAACTTTCCTTTAAAGGAACTATTATTAGACCGTTTATGGTTGCTTTAAAAGTACTAACAGTGGGATTTTATAACAA